CTGGCTGTTGACACCACTAATTATTGACTGTTAACTGCAGAAAAATAGCCAATAGAAAAATACGTAATCGTAAATTTTCATGCCTAGCTTTTTTTTTAAATAAATTTTTTTGAAAATTTCGTTTGTTGCAAGATATTTCGCGTAAGAAAGCGTACCCCCGCTAAACTGTTCCCGTACCCCTGGGGGTACGCGTACCACACTTTGGGAAACACTGCCTTAGAGCATGACATAAAAATCATTCACCCATTAAAATTTATTTTTAAGTTTTATATTTTTTCTAAAGATTAGTAATAAGAACTATGATTTTGAAAACCAGAATTTCCAGTAAACCGTTACCATACGAATGGTAACATTACCAATCGAATGGTTCAAATACCATATGTTTTGGTTTTATTAACCAGAAATATGGCTTTTTTTAAAAAAACCAGAAATGACATTACCATACCGTGCGGTAATTCAACCAGATTTTTTTTTGTATACACATTACAGAATAATTATATTTCGGACTGAAAACAATGTTAAAAGAAATGCACCGGTTTAAAACTGTGTTAGATTAAGTACCTAAATTTCATCAAAAAATTTCAGGGGACATCTCGGTAAAGTCTCGTTATGAGTGTCTGAAAAATACATCCGATTTGATTATGATAACTACACTATCTGAAAAAGGCGAAAAATATGCAAGTTCTAGCAAAATGGCGAATTTCAAAATTGTTACTGTTTTCTTTAAAATCAGAAAAATGCAATTTTTCCAGATTTTCAGAATCGTAGATATTCGAGTGTGAAAAATTTGCCATTCGGACCGATAGCAGAAATCTTGATTTGCAGAGATTATCAGAACACCTGCAGTTCATTTTTTAACTCAGAATTTTAAAAAAAATTGTCACAGCATTTGAAGATAGCATTTTCCATTTCAGATTTAAAAAACGAAACAAGAGAAAAATCATTTTTAAATCCTAAACTTAACCAATTACATTCTTTTAAGTCCTTACAAAATTTATTCGAAAAATCTGCAGATATAGAAGAAAACGAAAAATGATGGCTTCCGAAATTTCCAACTAATTTACTTTTAATTCACTGGGATTTCGAGCAATAAAGAATTTAAATGGCGAGAAAAATATTTAAAAATAAATTCTTAATTTTCGAAAACTCTAGAGTCTAGATGCTTGTTTAAGAACTGTATTCGTATTATATTTTTAACGTTCAATAATAACATTAATTTAAAATAGTATAAAACTTTTTTAATGAAAATAATATATTTTAAACATTTCTTTGCGTATCATTTATACCTACCCATTATGTTCCAATGCTGCAGTACTCAGGTTAAGCCCAATTTTCACAATAACAGACTGTTTTAGGGTTTCAGACATATATGAATTTATGAAGATTGTATGCTGCAGATACCCTCTGTAAATTCTGCAACCAGGTTGTTCAGTTGCAATGGAAAATTGTTTTGCGATGGCGCTACAAGCACCAGAGGGACAGTACCCTCTGGTGTTGATTACGCCTTTTCTCTAAATTTAACTTAGGTTTTGAATTGTTCATGTCTAGTTAAAAGTAATTTTGAAGCTAATTAACTAAACCGAATTGCAATTTTTCCACATTCAAGTACTAATGTTTTTTTTAATTTAAGCATATAACTTATTGGTTTAGTTAGAAATAATTTTAAGACAAATAATGAGTTTGAAAGAAAACAAAATAACACAATGAAACAAGGGAAAGTATACTAAGTGTAAATATTTTTATTTACAGAAATGAAAGAAAAATTCTCTTTTAAATGCAAATATCAAATTATTTCACCACTTCAGTTATAATAATTTACAAAAAAAATAAACAAAAAAAAATAACTGTACTATCAATCACAATCACACATAATATGTATAAATAAAAGTAAATAAATATAAATAATTAAATAAACATTTATGTATAAATAAATTACAACTCACCGGTAATCAGCACCGCATGCAAAATGTCGAAAAATTAGAATTTTTATAAGAGCATCGCGAAACATAATGTTCATAAATTAGAATCTTCATACAGTATTGCAAAATACAGTATTTTAATGGAATTAAAAAATAGCTCATTATCTCAAACTTTATGAATGAGTAAATAAATATAAAATCATTATTTTAGTTGAACCATAATATTAACCAATTCACTAAAACCTTAAAAAAGTGCATGAACATAAGCCCAGACTGTACATTGATGCAAAGAATATTTGTGCTTAAATATACATTGAATACTGCCAGGTATCTGGGATAAATACTTTTTACCCAAAATGATTGCAATAATAGTAATTTCAGGTTAATGCCATAAAGAACAATTAACGCATCATTAGTCAAAAGAACTGTATTTACCGATGCATAATCAGATGTGAAACAGAAGAATTATGCGAAATGCATTCCTTTACATTTATAAGAAACCCGGATTTAATATAAATGTATATTAAATTACTCATTCAATTTGGTTAACATTAATTAATACTAACAAAACAGTTAATGATAATTAAATTAACAAGAAAGTTAACATTAAAAAATTCATTTATCGATGTATATTAATGCAACAGATGCGAGACAGAAAAATTATTCAGAGTACATTCTTTTAAATTTATGAGAAATCGAGACTTAAATTTTATGCATATTAAATTATTCCTTAAATTTGGTTGCCATTAATTAAAATTGAGAAGACAGTTAACACAAACAAAATTATCAAGAAAGTTACAATTTATTAAAACTAGCACAAAATTTATAACACAAAACCTTTTCAGTTGGCGGTGTCTTCACAATACTTGATCATCATTTAAAAGTGCAAATATTACAGTGAAATAACAAATCAAATAATCTAAACAATATTTTAGTTTAATTGTTAGTCATTATTACAAATAATTATGTTTGCGATACAAAAATTATAATTTTTCCTTCATTCAAATAAAATCATAAGACATATTTTAAAAACAATATACAGTAATTTAATGTTTAGGAACTAGACATTTCTAGCTCCTAATTTATGAAAAAAATGAATAATAAATTAATACAACCTACAAAATAAAAACAAACATACGAACATATATACAGTCTACTTGTACATAATCTATATAAATAAAAATATTTTATATATAAATAAAAATGAATAAATGAAGATGAATAATAAATAAATAAAAGAAAAGTAGGAAGAACCCCAATTCCCGAATCAACAAATACCATAAGCAACAAATTTCTACTTTCTGTTCCTTTCTCTGTTTTACTCTCAGGATTCTAAGCAATGCTAAAACACTATCAAATCATACTATTATATTTAACTAAATATAATAGTATATTATATTAAATATATTAACTATTATATTTAACTAAACAAAGCAGAATCGTTGGTTAAAAAACCGAATCAAACATAAAATCTTGTTATTACAATAAATAAAAAAGAATTACTGGTTAATAAACTAAATAGAACAAAATTACTAGTTGTTAGAATTATCAGTTATTACATAAAATATTACATCAATAAACACTAGATATAGAAACAACGCACACTTACTAGTTATTAAACTAAACATAATAATATCAATTATTTAACTGAATAGTATTACAATTTATTATGATGTTAGTTACAAATAATTAAAACAACTTTTATTAAATGAAACAACAAAAAATGAAAGAACACGTATAATACTTAAACTAAATAGAGCAGAATTGCAGACCATTAAACTGATTTACATTTTATTTTAACTAAGTAGAGAAAAATTACCAGTTATTAAACAGGGGTTTTTAATAAGTTATTAATATAAAGTACAAATATTATTTATTAAACTAAAAAAAAAGAAAACTAAACTCAAATTATCGCTTATTCAATGAAATGAAACAGAATTACTGCTCAGTAAGCTAAATAGAACAGAGTTATTAGTTGTTAGAATTTTCAGCTATTACCTCAAATATCATTAGTTGTTATAACAAATACTAGATATAGTAATAAAGCACATTTACTAGTTAATAAACTAAATATAATATTATCTTTTTAACTAAATAGTACTGAAATACAGCTGTAATTTTGTATAGTTACAAATAATTGAATAACTATTTATTAAACGAAACAACAATAAATGAAAGAACTCCTTATACCACTTAAACTAAATAGAGCGGAATTGCTGGTCACTAAATTGATTTACCGTTATTTAAACTAAATGAAACAAAAGGGATTTAATAAGTTATTAAAATAAAGCATAATTATTAGTTATTAAAATATAAAAAGGAAACTAATTAAAATTAACATTACTAATATTATTAAAATAACTAAATTAAAATGAACATTTATTCATTATTACTAGAAGTAATACTATCATCATTAGTTATTAAACTAAGTATAACAGAGTTACCAGTTTTAAATTAAACAGTAATGACTTCTGGTTACAAAACTGAAAAATTAAATAGAATTAAGTTATTAAACTAACTACAGAATATTTCATAATTAAGAATCTAATTCTAACACTGTTATAAGTTTAGGACTTCTTTAAAGAACAAACTTCAACGATGTAAGAAGTATAAGAAAGAAGAAAAAAAAACTATATATATATGATTTAATTATGTTTTAACAAGCTAGAGTTTCTAACGGACATTCTGTTACAAAGAATTTTGTTCAGTAATTGGATAAATTTTCCAATTTTAATGATAATGAAGAAAAGGTTAAATACCGATTAGGTAAAGATAGTAAAAAAATAAAGAAATTTTTTTTATCTAGTTTGTATGCATATAAAATCTTTATATTTTTTCTCTCAAAAAATTTTATTATTTTTTCACTAAATTAAAACAATAATTATTATTGTAACTTTTCCATTTATAAGAAAATAAAGGGGCCTATTTAAAAATTGTATTTGTGTGCTTTATAGGCATGTTTTATTTTATATAGAAATAAACAAAGTAAAGAAATTCTTGTAAAATTACAGCACTTCCAGTAAGAAAAAAATAAATAAATTACGTTGTTAATATTAAAACTGCCGAGTTTTTTGGTGTTTCCAAAAGAGCCAGAAACATGCCAAATTTTACCATATTTTGGTAGTTTTAACCATTCCTTTTTTTATTTATATCAGTGTTTTTATATTTAATGCAACAAAATTACTTTTATGTAAAAAATTATTGAGTGCAAACTATGCATACAACCTAGATAATTTAGACCTAATTCCATAGCCTATAGGTTAATCCCTCATTACTGAGGAAGAGTTAGGACGGTTAGCCAATTATTCAGCGGGCATAATCCAAAGTCCCTTTTGTTTTCATTGCACTGCTGTCCCTTAGCTTTGATTTGCTCAGACTGCATTTGCACTTGCCCCGATAGTTTTATCCATAAACATACTTTAAATGTTAATTCATAATAATTCTAACTAATTACAAACACAGCCCAATCATACAGCCAGGTCATAAGTTTTACTGACGAAAGCAACGTAAAAATGACTGAAAGAATTTTGGGCTTTTCTTGTCATTCATACACAACTTTCCATGAAGAAACTTGGTTCCTGATGTTAAAATTGGGCTATAAGTTAATTGTAAATTATTCCTTTCACCATAAAACGAAGCTAAATGGCGCCGATTTTTATTTTTAATAACAATGCTATTAAATTATAGTATTCCGATTATATTAAATTAGAAGCAAACACATTTAATTTTCTATTTGCTAAACATAAGAGAAAAAAAAATAGTCTTCCAATAATAGAAATACTTATATCGTTTGCTTGTAATTATCGTTTGCTTATAATTATCGTCTGCTTATAATTATCGTTTGCTTGTAATTATCATTTGCTTGTAATGTTAAGAAGTTGATCAAACATTGTTTTGACCTAGATTTTGTTTTTAATATTCAGGATATTCTTAATTTTTCAAATTAGAATAGAACTATTCATGTTTTATTTGAAAATCTTTTACAATTTATTTTTACAGGGCAGTAAGAAATTACTTAGATAAAGATTAAAGTCGATTTTTTTTAAAATCGCAAACTCATTTGAGATATGTAGCGCTTTTTTGGTCATTAAAATCAATCATTGACTTTCTAATAAGATTCCGCTCCAGCCCATAAAGCGAAAGGCATCAAATATACATTTTCTCGATTTTCTTAAATTACAAAAATGGCCACGTCATTCACCAGACTTGAATTTAATGAAATTTACGTTTGGTACATCTTGGACACAATAATTGTGATGAACCTAATAAGATATGAGCATACCTAAAACATTTTTGTGCAAGGATCTGCATAAAATGTCAGTTAACGAGTTGTAGCTCTGCTTAACGCCAAAGGTTATCAGTTTTATTATGTCAATATTATGTTATTTATACCTAAAACCATATTATTTATACCTAATCCTGATTTTAAAATGCGCCATTTAGCTTCAACAAAAAAACAAATATTATTATACATTTAATTAAAAACAAAATTATGCATGTTTCATACTTTTAACACATATGCCGTCAGATAATATTATAATACATGTAATGAAAACAAATATTTCGTTCAGAAAAATTAAAATATTTTACAACATGCAAATATCAAATCAGACATTAAATTTTTTATCTTACATTTTAAAGGCCTGATCTTACATTTATTTAACAAAACCTTAAAAATGACAAATACAAAGTGTACAATTATGTTTTTTTACAAAGTTACAGATACAAATGATATAGCAAGTGAAAAAACAAACAAACTAATTGTAAAAAAGTTCACATTAATTTAAAACTAAGGAAGGAATAAAAATTTCAAAGGTCGACCTGTGCTTACGTTCTCAGTGCTCGCAAAACATAACCGGATGCATGAAATACGTCATCAGAAAAAGGGTGAGAAAAATGAAAGGTGAACAAATAATATATTAAATTAATAAATAAAATGGAAACAATTTCCATTGCAATTTTTTCTTCTCTCGTTTGCGTAACATCCGCTTTATGTAGATTCATCTACAGTTTCTGAAAAGAAAAAAAAATATTAAGTTAGTATCTATAGTTATTAAGTGCAAAATAAAAGAATATTTCAAGATACATAATACAACATAGGCTATTTTATTTTATAACCATCGCTGGAACAGCAGACCCAATTTTGAGTCCACTACTACCTATGTTCCCCTCCCCCATTTTCATCCCAATCCAGAAGACAAGGGAACTACAAGAAATGTACTGGGGGAAATTTGCCTTCAAGGAGGGCATTTCGATTGAATTAACCCTCATTTGCGTTACATAAAGAGGAAAACCACGAAAACCTCTTACGGTTAGCCTGATGGCAAGGGGACTCTAAACTATGATTCATCAACCGCTGAGGATATTTTAGGTCAGCACTGTGGTCGATGTGATTGGGGGCGGTATTCGTATAGATCGGCCATCGCTGGGATTCGAACCTGGGTCACCTCAGTGGGAGGCGAGCGCTCTATTTCCTGAGCTACCACGGTCCGTCGTAAGCTATTTTATTTTATTTTATAACCATTGTTGAACAGCCGACCCAAATTTGAGTTTACGACGGCCAATGTTCAACTCCGTAGCCTTGTAATTTTGAACCCAACCCAGAAGACAAGGAAACCCCTGGATTAGTACCTCCAGAGGTATTGATTTGTTATGGGAACTTGGAGGGATTTGTGACCCCGACAGATGTAGGGCGCACCAATAACCATTTAATACACGGGGATTCTCCGGCCGGCTGGATTCGAACTCCCGTTCTCACGAACACGAGTCCAACGCCCTACCAACCAGGCTATTCCGGCCCTGTCGTAGGTTATTTAGAAAATCTGTCTCTAGCAATCCGTCACCGTCGTTTGGCAATGTGACAGGCTAAATGGAAAAGCCACCACTATTTTCCAATCAGCCTAACATTTATTAACGGTCATAAAAGTGCCGATTTTTTTGGCTTTTGTATTTGTATTACGTATTTGATTAGTGCTGCAACTAGTTTAAAATAAACTATCTACAATTACCTTAAAAATATCCTGGTACCGCCATCGGGTGTGTAAAATGAGAAATAAAATGTTTTCCGGGCAAAAGAAATGAATTAGTTTTATTCTTATTGGCGCGTTACTTCTGAAAACTCCAGCCCGTCATTTTCACGGGAGCGAGAAGGAAGGGGTTAAGCTTATTTGCAATGAATTCAGATACTTACAAGATAATTAAAAAACATATAATTTATTTTTCAATGAGCCTTATTTATTACAGGCTGCTTGATATTAGCTGATATATTTTTAAGCTAATTAGAACATATATCATTAATAGCCTATGTTAATAATGTTTCTTCTTTAATTTTTTTTAATGAGTATATATTATTACTTTTTTGTAAACAGTAAGTTTGGGTGAAAATATATTTAATTTGTGCTGAGACAAGCGTCTAAAGATGAGTTCTAAGCAAACATACTTATCTAGAAAAAAATTGTCATTCTTTCTTTCGGTGTGACCGCAAAACTTTAAACAAACAACTGCTAATCGGATATGCTACTTATTATTATTTATTTTTGCTTTCATTTGTTTGCAAGTTCAAAAGTGAATTGTAAATAGATTCTAGAACGGCAAAATAATGCATATAATAGATCAGGGTGCGCAGCCAAATCTTTAAATCAAAAATAAGCACTTTTTAAAAATTTTCAAGCACTTTACAAAAATTTTCAAGCACTCAAAAAATTCTTATTCAATCAATGATATTATTGAAAAACAAAAACTTTTTATAAACAGTTTTAGCGTTAAAAAAAAACCCAAAAAGAAACGGACGTAAATCGAAACAATCAGTACTTTCCCACATCACCGAGTGAATTCAACTTGACCCTGAACTCAGAACAAAAGTACCCTTACCCCCTACGTCAAAAAAAGTGTTAGAAGTAAAATAAAATAAACAAGAACAAAATTAAAATAAATTAAAAAGAAAAACATTTCATAAGGATCTGATATTCTCTATCCGAATTGGAGCACTCGGGTTTCGGTTTCAAGTGTGCGCGCATGCGCAAGTCATAACGTGGGTACGACATGAAGTCCGCGTGAATGATTACGTAGCAAACTCCCCATTTTTCGTGAAATGCATGGGATCCACCAGATATCACTGAAGGGAAAAAAAAATATTCAGAAAAAAAGCACTTTTTAAAAACGCCAGCTGAAAAAAGCACCTTTAAAAGCTTTTAAAAACGAAATCCCCAAAAAAGCACCTTTAAGTACTTTTTACAAACGCTACGCACCCTGTAGATGTGTTAAAACAGAATATAATGATTTTTAAAAAATAGATTAATCATATCATATTTGGGTGAAAATACAATTATGTTTGTAACACTCCATTGTTTTTGCTTATCATAAAATGATAATTTATGTAATAAAACAAATTCTTTTATGAACATATTTTATTCCAATTGATTTCAAAACGAGTTTGACCGTTTTTTTAATTTAGAATTTATTTTTTTGCCATCAATTATGCAACGTTTCTTATACAGTGTAAAAATTACGGGTCAAATTACGGTAATAAATACCGGCACTCAGAGTACTTTTTATCGTATAATCCATTTTTACTGGGGTATGTCATAAAAACAAAAAAATCTGCTATACCGACATTTTTAAAGTAATTATTACAGTAAAATCACTGAATTGAATCATTCTAATTAAATAAATATTACTGTAAAAATTACGATACAATATTTAAATGCAAAAATGGATTTTACAGAATGGATTTTACGGATAATGCACCAAAAATGCCTATACTTTATAGCAGACAGTTACGATTATTACGTAAGCATGATTTTTGATGCATCTCTCTTGAAAGCAAAAATAAGCACAATCGTGAATACTACTATATTTGGAATACTTGGAGAATCGTGAATACTTGGCGTATGCTTGCGCATTATTTTTTTAAAAATGGTAACTCTTTTAAACATTTTGCAATTTACAATTTGTTGTCCGCGAAAATTTCTTTTAATGTAAGAATTGATTAAACTTATCAGCAAAATAAAACGATAATTAAAGAGTAAACCCCGTTTCTATTAGATGCTTACTTAATTTTTGGAAGACCCTTAACTGTATAACAAGCCCCCTAGAAGGATAATCCTCCAAAGAAGAATAAGTTTAAAAAGTATATATTTGCTAAGAAAAATAATGTTGAGTTCTAAATTTAAATATTGCCCAGGCTGATCAAATTCGATCTATTTACAAACTGAACTGGAACAGTTAAAACTAGTTAAATTATAATACGATATACAGTTAATGCAAAACTTGACGGGTCATTCTCAGTTTAATAAAATGCTAGCTTTAAAAAAAAAGCAGTATCTAATTGGTGTCTTTTGAAAACTCTATATAAGCGGATACAACGAGTTTTTGACAATTTATAATGGCAGAGATTGATGGTAATCAAAAGCGTATTTTTAGCGGTTTATAATCAAATTAAAGTTATAAAAAATCATTCCGTAGGTTTCGTTATTTAAAAAACGGCTAACGAAAAGGAACAGAACATTCATGTGTTGCAGGCGATTACGATGATTTCGTGAGAATCAAAACGATGGCAGACACAGAAGATAAATCAAACGATTAAATAAAAGACGGATAAAAAAACTTATTTTCTAGTAAAAAGATTTTTCGGACCCATGATTGGGTATACTATAGCCTACGTCACAGATCGTGTTATTCCTACTAAATTTAACTAGTAAACAGCATTTTCTGCGAACCTGATTTCTAGCAACAAGTAAAAGCATCAAACGATATTGTTTGTAAGTCGCTACTCGCCAGGTTGGAATTGTATTAGTCTAGTTCCTTTGGAAATAATTTATATTGTTGTTTTACCGAAGTTTATGAGTTTAGTAAGCATATTTAAAACTCAGTTTATTAATTAAACTAAAAGGTAAATGTTATTCCTAGTAAGTGGAAGTAGTTGTGTTTTTTTCATATTATACCCAATTGAATTAAAATATTTATTTAAAAGTTATATGTAGTAAAACTACATCTAATAATCCAATTTAAAACTTAAAAAAAAAGGTAAAAACTAGCATATTAACAACAAACGAAAACGGGCATATTCTTTTGTGGCAGACGATTGCAATGGACTTAAGGTAATTTATAAGGTACAGAAAGAAGGCAAATCAAACGATAACATAATACGAGTATGAAAATCAGTTCACCCACTGAAAGATTACAGATCTAATATTTATTTACGAATTCTTTGTATTAAAATTATTGCAAAAATTTAAAGCTTTAAAACAAATTATTTTACGGGGGGAAAACTGTTAACAATTTGTTTTTCTAACAACAAAACCAAAAATATTCCATATTCATTCATGGCGGACGATTACAATGAACTTTTGACAATATATAATGACAGAGGTAGAAGGCAAAATCAAACGATAACATAATACGCGTATCAAAATCTGTTTACCTACTGAAAGATTTCTGGTTTATAGGAGTGAGATGCATGATTCACGTGGAAAAACGTCGTTTCGCCTTTGATTCGCCCTTTGACGTTGTCGCCTGATTAGTCGACAGCTTCCGCTTCCGCATGTAATCTGAAATGAGGAAAAAAAAAAGCTACATTACTCATTGTTTTTGCACAAGTTGACAAGCTATATCTGTATTTAATTGAAACACATGTTGAATTTCGCACCGTCTATTATAATAAATGAATAAACATTATTTCTCTAATAAGGAACAATGCATGAACGATAAATGTTCAAGGTAACATACAATCAAAAAATGCGTAACAGGTTGTTACTATTATGCGTTTCGGCATTTTGTTGACAGAAAAAAAAAAGTTAAACCCATATTTCTGTCATTATGTATGAAAAAAGTATAAAACGCACATTTTAAATATTACAATCTTTTGAGAGCATTAGTATTGACAAAACATATTAGCATTAATTTTGATTTTAAGGGCGTTTTCTTATACTAAAATACAAAAATGTTTTCAGAACTTAAAACAGGATATGATGATAAAACATCAAATGTAAATTTAATATTTAAAATAATAATTATTTTTTAGTTTAAAGGCGAAAGAATAGGAATTACATTCAGGATTTTCACTTGTTTCATGAAACATAAAGCCAAGCAATTTATAATAACAAGGAAATATTCATACAAGTAATCCTCTGAAAATCCTCTGTTCAGATGAAATTTTATTAAATTTTTTTTTCTGTTGCTACGTAACTGAAAAAAATTGGATACATTTTTTCTGATTTCCGCTATGGTCGTTTTGCAATGGATTTGGTTGAGTTAGAAGTTTCTTTAAACACCTTAGAGTTGTTCCTTCAATACGGTGACAGGTTACACTTTTTCAACTTATACTTATAAGCAAAAACAAAAGCCAAGAAACAGTGTTTTGCACTGTTTACTTCAACTGTAAACAACTTTTTTTCCCTCTTGGAATTCAAAAAGATGTTCAAGAATTTTCGGAGCAAAACATTTAGTAAATTAACTGTTTATATAATTGCTTTAGAAAAGTTTGCTTAATGCATTTTAATGCAATTTAAACATTTAATGAATAATCTTTTAACTATTTCGTTTTATAAAAAATAAAAAAATAAAAAATCATGCTGATTAAAGGATTAAATTAGTCCTATTTGAGTGATTTAAAAAGAAAGTTTTAAAAGAAAATCTTCTTGGGCATTTATACTTTTAAGAAGAAATAACTAACCTTGCAAAAATATTATGTGTTTGGTGCGTAATTAATTAAAAATTTTTAAACGTGCTAACTCTAATTTTTAAACTTTTTCTAACGTTCGTTTATTATAATAAATAAATGATTATATAACAGAAAGATAAAAAAACGCTAATATGACGTAAAACTCGCATAAAGGCTTTTTGCATTTTAATGCAATTAAAACATTTAACGAATAGTCTTTAACTATTTCGTTTTATAAAAAAATTCATGCTGATTAAAGGATTAAATTAGTCCTATTTGAGATAGTTAAAAAGAAAGTTTTAAAAGGAAATCTTGGGCATTTATACTTTTAAGAAGAAATAACTAACCGTGCAAAAATATTATGTGTTTGGTGCGTAATTAACTAAAAATTTTAAAACGCGTTAACTCTAATTTTTAAACTTTTTCTAACGTTCGTTTATTATGATAAATAAATTATTATATAACAGAAGAAAAAAAAACGCCAATATGACGTAAAACTCGCATAAAGACTTTTTGTAAAGAGGAAAAAAAACCCTACTCGTAATGCTTTAAATACATCTAATATATACAACTAGCACTCATGCGGCGAGATCTCATCTTTAATTCATCGGTCAAGCCCCAGTTGATCACTTACACCCCCCTTCCCCGAGAAAAGCAAAACTTTCATTAGCAGGTTGTTGCATTCAACATCGTTTGCAACGCATCGTTACTCAAGCAGTCTTAAAAAAAATCATCCCTCCTGCTATTTCTGTCTTTGCTTTCCAGCAAACGATCAGGAAAAAAAAAAGTTCTTTGAGAAGAACCATTTTTGGACACAGTAATAAGAATCTTCAAACAGATTAGAAAAATTGATTATTTTGGCTGATTCGTAAACATTACTTGGAAGTTTAACGGTTCACTGGTCTGACATTGAAAAATTCACGAGTGAAGTCAATATAAAAACAGATCCAGTTCACTAGTTATGACCTTAAAAAGTCGTTCGTAAAGTGTAACTATTTAGAACCCAGAAACGCTATTTTACTTAATGGAAATATGATAAAAAATAAATAAATATATAACAATAATTGTAATAAATTCTTAGATAATATCAAATGATCTATGACATAATAAGAAGCTTTAAAAAATGTTAATGTATTTATTTTTTATGAAGTAAGTTGCTATAAAGCTAGAGATAGAAATTTAAGCAATTATTTACAAATTAATGTTAAAAAAAATTAACTGCTTCAAAAGTGAATAATAATTTATTGAATAATTCATCATCGAAAAAGTCTATACGATACATAACTAAAGTGAGATATAAGAAATTTAACGAAATATTTTATGAAAATTCATTATTAAGTTATTCTGTAACAAAGTTAGGCATTTTTAGGGTAAATTTTATGCAAATGTCTTGAGAGCATCCTAATAGAATATAAGTTTACTATATACAAGTAAACAAACCTTTTTGTTTTACATTAATTCCTTCAGATAAACCTATTGACTAACCTATTGTTTTATATTAAAACTTTATATTTTTTATAACATAAATTTTTATTATCAAACCTTTCGATCAATTAATCATATTTTATGTTCGGAGCAGCACAGTGCTTAAATTGCTTCCAGCAAATTTAGTTTAGTTGAATGCGATTAGTTATTGCAATTTATTAATGACTATCCATAAATTTCTTTGCTAATACTAAACGTTTTTTTCTCCTTTAGGTAAATCTTTCAACCAATTCACAATAGAAACTCTAAACGACTATAATTTTATATTAAAATGTAAGCATTAAATCAAACAAAAACATAAATCTACTTCTATAGCCAAAAGGGAATGACAAAAATACGCAAACGAGTTTAGTCACGATATTGCTTTAATAAAGCATCTACTGGATATTGTAATATTTTTGTTTTATCTAATGGCAATCTTTCCATTGGCAGATGAGAATAAAACAACGGCAAAAACAAGTCAGTTTGCGTGCACCGCGTACCAATTCTCGAAATCAGGTACGTGGCCACTTACCCCAAGAAGAAAGTCAAGATACAAAAACATTTCCAGAGAGTTTTCCCTTCAACCTCTCCCAATCTTACCAGGGTTATTGGCCCAAGCTATCTCAAGAGCTATTCGTACTGGCATATTCAAGAGCGCTAGAACGCAATTGCGCAATTCCGGTCGGGCCTACGTGGAGCGCATCGAGGAGAATCTCCTGAGCATTACCGTGGGATATTTTGGCCCAGCTTCATTAACTATGACCACGGGTGACTCAATTAAAGAGTGTGTGGCTCTTTCACTAGGCACTGTTTTTAATCCAACTGAATATTAATCAGGGAGATTTGGCTGCCTCATTAGGATGGGAATCTCATTTTCGCTCAGTTTATGAAAGCCTCAAGAGGACATTAAACTGCTTCGTTTTCATTTTTATTTTATCGGATTTATTTTTACGAACACATATAGTGAGAACTGACTGCTAGAACAGTTCTAATAATTTAAATATATAAAATAGTTCGTTATTTGCTAAGGAAAATAAAACCAGTTTGAATCCCTTTTAAAGTAAAAGCTTTGATTTTTTTTACAACATACACTGGCAAAGTAAAGATTGTTTGAGCTCCAAAACGGGTAAATATTAGGTGGACCGGAAAGTAATGTCGTTTCGGTGCATTTGATATTTGTTATCAAGATTTTATTTTTAATCAATAATTTATTCACCTTCGTTTGGCAACAACCTTTCAATACCGGATCGAAAATTAATCGAAAGGGATAAAAAATTTTTTTTTATTTTTTTTAAGACTAACGAATATTTAATGCGCTGAAAGGACATTACTTTCTGGTCAACCTAATATTTTAAATATCAAAAAAAAAAAAAAATTTCTTNTATATATATATATATAATAAAAGAAAGAGAAAATTATTGTTGTTGTTGTGGCTTATCTTCCAACTGTCTGACGCAGGCAGACAAGATCTTTAAACCTTTAATCCTCAGAAAGGAAAGAAGGAAGAAGGAAAAGGAAAGAAATGTATAAGCCTTCCATGGAAAGACCCAAGTATTCCAGGATATATTATAATGGCTATAAGTTACCATATTAAAAAAATGATAAGGTGACCTCAATAGTGTGCCTAAAAAGTGTAAAATTTCGGACAAAATTATCTGAACTACATTCAAATCATAGTTTTATGAGCTTCAAACAAAAGAGCCATTATGTGGCTGTTTTTAATCTGAAGACATTGGCGTCAAATCAAAAAATAGTGTGCCAAAATAAGTGGGAAGCAAATTGAGTGTTAGATATTTCCCAGAATTCCGTCATTATTTTGAGCTTACCCTAAGTTATTGTCATTCATAAAAATAATCAATAAAATCGGACTGCACTCAACGCCACGAATTTCTTCTCAATTAATTTGGGGCTCAATAACATGACTTTAATTTAAATAATTATGTAAATTCTTTCAATTATAAATTTAATTTAACAAAATAATACAATTTCGTCATTGTAATTAAGCTACAAACTGCAAAAATCTATATGTTTCTTCATTTTTAAACTGTATCAACAAATTAATATCAATTCTCAAAAAATTATTATGAATTTCTTTTTGTCTTGATTCATTAAACTGCTTAAATCGGTACGCTTGTTTGTTATTAAACTTATTCATCAAATCATGTAAATTTTTTGTTTGTTATTAAGCTATTAACAGCAATAAGTGATAAATTGCGCAAGTTAAGATGTTATTAACTTTAACTTTTTTATTCTTTTTATAACTAATGATTACAAATTTCTTTTTTGTTATAAAGCTTAGACTGACATAAGCTATAATCTTAATTTAATTAAAACCTTTCTTTTTGTTACGCGTAAACATTTTATATCATTAAGTTTATCCACCAAAAAAGATAGAAAAGATTTTTAAAAAGAATTTGTTAA